AATGAGGAAGCTTAGGCAGGTGTCAAAAGGTAGTGGCTTGTGGAATCCACGGGGCTTACGTCATGCCCATCCGGGAATTACAAGCCTCTTGAACAAGAGCATAAATAGTGTCATTAAATAAGCTACGCTTCAGAGTAGCGACACTTGACCATATTGGGGCTTAAAATCATGGTTGCCAGTTATTTGAAGCTTTATCTGAAATCACAAGAAACGCTTTTCCGTCCTCCTCTTTAAACCGTTTGCGACAAAGCAAAGCAACATTACTTGAGCTTCCTAATACCGAATCTAATGCTGAGGATGTCGCACCTTTAAATCATGACGATCGGCAGTCGCGCCTGCTCTGCACAAGCACCAAAATGGCGGCGTTCACAACACTGCCGGGGAAGAGAGTGCCGATACTCTAAGCGCACCTCATTTATAGGCTGTAGTTCCCGCGAAACTCATTTTCCCTGACTGAAACTGAAAGTAAATATGAATAATACACCATTATTATAGCTTATTTAGTTATAACCAACTACAAATAATGAGAGGAGGAAGCGGCCGGGTAGGAGAAACGCGAGTTTTATGTGTGACCGTTCTAACCGTCTCAAAAGAGAGAACGCGCGAGCTTTCGCTGGTTTGAAAAGGCATCGAAAGAAAAGAGGCGGCACCCTGTGTTCTTTGTTATTATGCGTCTAATTGCAAATTGTTGTGTGTATGTTTATACAGCCGGAGGTTAGTCTGCCTTAGTGGGTGTCTGGTGTCTCAGGTGTAGATGAGCAATTTAGCCGAGGTACAACCGCAAACCTGGGGTCTTTAACGTGCACCACGCAGTAGTGATACACGACCGCACTCCTCTACGATGCTCTTCCAGATCGAAACGGGCGGGGGCGGGGTTGGTTCTGCAGCGCAAGCTTTTGCTCCAAGTGCTCCGAGCTGGTCTGCGCTAGACCATGCCCTCGGCCCCCGAACCCCCCCCCCCCCCCCCCCTTTTTTTTTGCGTCTAATTTGTATACAGGTATAAGTATTTGAAGATCGACGATGGACGTCGATCGTCTCGAGGTAATGTAACGTAATAACATTATATAAATAATAAATTTGTTGAAGGACTGAACGACTCAGTTTTTCAATTCTTGGATTGTAATATGGCGGTAGCCTATTGTACTTACTGTTGATGAAGAGTAATATGAGGTGACGAGGTAATGATTAAATGATGAGGCTCTATAAGGACGACGACATTAGTGGGTGTCGAACCACAACGTACAGTGCCAGACTTTTTTCAAGTATCGTGTACCCAAATTGCACGCTGTCTCAACAGCATGCGCTGATTTGAAGGGGGCTTGGTGGCAGTGTGTTAGTACACTGCAGCTCCCAATGTGTGGAGCAAAAACTTGCAGTTCTCCCTTGCCCATTCACGTTTTGGCCTAAATGAGCACAGTACCAAAGCATGGCCGTGTATCACTACCACATGATCGATATAAAAAACCTCAGGCGGTCGGTTGTACCGCGCTGGTTACATTTCTAACATAGAGAGCGACAAAGTGTCGCCATGCTCTGGAAGACAAACCTTGTATTATCTTAAGAATTAATGCATAATATTTTGTTGATGGTGTTTAGGCAGTTCAGTAAACAAAAAAAAAAGTAATTTCGTGTGTGACGAAAACCATACAAACTTCTCCATATGCCAAATTTACTGACAGCCGCTTGAAAACATTACAGCTCTTCAAGCGTGCCAGAGGGCTGCCCTGCGTGCAATCCACTACACTTTGCTTTCCGTAAACTTGTAAAAGTATAAATGTTGTGATCCAATGAAAGAGCAGGCCCAAGGAGCCTGCTCTCATCCGCTCGTCAGGAGCTGTCTACTGTGAAATCAGCGCACTTGATAAGGATGTCTGCCTAGGGCAGTAAAGCAGGTCTTGTTTGCCTAAGGGTATCAGGATGTTTCAAAAAGTCATTCATACTCTCAATCGACTTGAAAATCGGCATCAGAAACTGTGTTGTACGAAATATGGTTTTTATCCTACAGGTTTCGATCACCCCTGCTCCAACTACTCGGAAATTATTTCGAACTCGCAATATGTCTGAATGATCCTGAAATACATGGGGGAACGGTGGTCCACTGGGCTAGCACGTCTCAGCTCGAAGCATGTGGAGCGAAAGCTGGTGCTGCAGACCCCAGAGATCCTGGCCTCAACCCCCCTTGCCTGTTTCAATCTGGACGAGAATTATACCGGCACGCGTTCAAGTAATCACTACTGCGTGACGCACGTTAAAAAGCCCAGGCTTGTGGTCGTACTGCACTGGCTAATTGCCTCATCTACTTTTGAAAACTTGGCGCACTTTGAGGCGGGTCGTCCTTTCGCTGTCTAAACATCCTCAGCTAAATTTTGCTTTTTTAGCTAACACACGTATAAACAAAAACGTGCCTATGTCCTTGTAGAGTAATGCATTAAGCTGTGTTTGGGAAAGCTTGTGATACAGAAACAGGCAGAAAGCAAGAAGGAGAGCGTGCATGTTCACAATGAAGCAGTCAATGCACCACAGCAGACTCCTTGGCCTGAGTTTTCTTGGCTCATGGAAGAGCAGGGCGGCGAATGTCCATCTAACATCCTTTTTTTTTAATTTGAAGTAAATGTATCATCAAAATAGGTAATACCAATTTATTTGCATATGGTGACAGAAATAAATTGAGATTAATAGCATTTTAAAGTAAAGTCTCGTTCGGAGGGCTTTTTGGCGCAGATGGAACAGTCTGCCGTGATGGTGAGGAAATTCTATAGCCTTGTCCTTTTGTCAAGTTATGGCGAAACACAGTATATATCAATCCACTTGGAGAGGAAACGCTCCCTTGTACCAGATAGCTCAGTTGGGACTTTTCCTCTGAGCGTTGTCTGCTTTTGGGAACGAGCTGTACCAAACATCCATTAGCATGCAAAACAGTTTTGAATCTCACATTTTGGCTATTTCAAGCGCCAATGTGCGAATTTACAAGAGCTAATTGCGTGCAGTGTCATACTCAATGACGATATTAACAGGGCACAAGTGCGCAACCATCTCCTGTGAAAAGAAACAGAAGACTGGAAACAGGTACATAAACAATGTGCATGGTCGAGCTGGTCTGCGAAATAAATATATATATATATTTTACGGCAATTCAGATTGGTGCCCATGTAAACCCCCAGCAACTAACACTTTTTAATGAAAAAAAAATAAAGGAAATATCTGCAAACAAGCAACGATCATGCGTATTCGAGGCATTTCAACGACAAAAAACGATTCCGCAGGAACCTGGTGCTTGCTACGCCTTCGAGATGAGAGCCGAGGGTGCTTAAATTATTGTTGATATTTGAGGCAGTGTTACGTGTAACAACAATGTCACTTTCCTCACCCTTACGTGTGGAACATGGAACAAAACGCTTGATCAGCAACTTTAAATGGCTACTGAAACGGGCAGAAATAAGTTAGATACGATCAATAATCTTCGTAGATAACAATCTCACGTTTATAATTCAAGTGGATTGCCATATTTTTAGTTCCAAACAACCCACCCTCACAGGGGTTTGTCGTGCCTTCGACGGAGGGGAGCTCACTCGTAACACGTCACTTGCCTCATATCCCACAGAGCACACGCAAGGCTACTCTGAGGCTGGCACGACTATCGGCTTTGCCACTCGGCGGCACCAGCACGTCACAATTTGGCTGTTTCAGACGCTCGATTACATGGCGTATGTTACGTAATTTAGATAAGGAAGGCAGACTCGAGCTCTTCGACAAACTCTACACAGAGTGGATGTCGCGCGACCTCACTGCGAAATGGAAGCACTCGGTGGTCCATTCGATCTCGAAACGTTCTAAAAAGCCCGAACCCATACGGAACCTCAGACCCATTTCTATCACTTCGACAGCCTGCGCACAACTTGAAAGAATGGCCGTCATCCGACTGACTTGCCTCCTTGACAAGATTGGAAACAAGCCATATTACGATGATGTTCAAACCGGGTTCCCGCCCGGGCTGTGCCCGCGCGATAGCTGATACCTCCAGCGAGACCTGGTCAGCCTTAGGAGTCAAGATTCCTAGCGTACTAACAGCAGTCATCCTTAAAAAGGCCATAGACACATTCACGCACGCAGCGCTGATTGGGGCAATCGAAGAGTGCGGAGCTGGCACCCGCATAGGCAATGGAATCAAGTGCTTCTTAAAAGACAGAACCTAAGAGATAAGATCAAAAATCTGCAATTCGTGCGTATTCACCAACGCAGTAGGTGTCCTGCAAGAAGCAACCCTTTCGCTGGCGCTTTTAAATCTTGTCATGAGAAAGCCTTCGCACCCTCCCGCACCACCACTACACGTAGAAGGACGTGTTGTGCATGTGGTGAAGCCCATGTCTGTGCGAAGCAGCAGAGAACACCTCGAAATCCAGCGGTCGGACCTCACTCACACCCTTTCCACTCAGACGACAAAATCATCTAAATTAAAATATAAAAAAAATTATATTCACACAATAATTCAATATGGGACGAATAAACAATTTCGCGAGAAATAGAAGTTGTTTAGCCCTGCTGCATTGGTCAGCTCCACACCGCTGACCAATCGCTGCAGCCAATGATGCCCCGCTCCCTTGGTCCCACTTGGTCCCGACGTTTAGATTTTTCCCCCTGGGGTCTACAGCGTGCATCACGCATTAGCGATACACAAACTCACGCCAGTACGACGATGGTGAAGACGAGAGTGATCCATGAAATCTTCATAGGCTTTCTCATTAAACTGTAGCTTTCCAAAATATAGGGAGAATAAGATTGGCACGAGTATATTTCCTTCTTCGTTACAAACCTGTATGAAACTCAAACACAAATATTAGCCACCACCTCTGACTTAGTTTAAATTTACTTGTTGAAGGACTGTGTATCCTGCAACCTTACTAATAAGAAATATTGAGATGAGAAAGATTTTTTTTTTTAATTTTTAATACAACTTTTGTTTTACGGCATCAGTAGCGGGGTTTCTTCTAGTAGAACAGCAGTCATTTGGCATCTGTCTTCTTTTGACTGATTTCTTCATCACTTCTCTGTCTTGGTGTTCTGAAAAACTGTACGTCGCAGGGACCGGAGCAGAATCCGCCTTTGCATTTCTATTCAAGAGAAGAAGAAAAAACAAAACAAAAAAGAACAGATGACACATTTTGCAAACGCGAGAATATATATCTGAATATTCAAGTTTAAGAGATTCAAGGTGTGAACCTGCAATGCACCTCTGCTCGTGCAATTGTGTAGTAAATATATTACCCCAGTTCAGTTAGGTACTTGTAGGTGTGCTAACTTGTGGCACACTCCACATAGGATCATATTTCTACATTAAACTAGAATACGGGGCAGTGTTCGGAGCGGCACTATTCGGCAATCAGAACTCGCGAGGCCGCGCGTGTAGACTACGTATGGCGCTGTGGTCGATATAACTGTTGAAAGACGTTGCAGCCGGCCAGGCTCAGCTAAGTGTGCGCCAGGCGCCACCCACCAGAACGCTGTGGTTTTTGCGGTGTTTGTTTTGAGCCTCGGTTGCGTCTGAGAGCAGACCAAAATTTCCTAGTTTCGTATTTTATAGCGCACCTCTTGGGCGCCCTTTCGTGCATATTGCGGTGTCAGCGTCGCGTTGTCGTCAGCGTCGGCGTCGCGTTCGGCATTACCGCTTAACGCGGGAACGGGAACCTAAGAGTCCCATATTGCAGCACAGCGCGCGCTGTATTATGGGACGTCACAGCCGACGGTTTCACGCCTCTTGTCTGCCCTCTCGGCGTAACCAACGCCGAGAGGGTAGGTGAGGGCTCCCAAACAGGGCCCCCACCGTACACTATTCATCCTGTCTCGCCTAACTCCAATGGAAATAAAATAAAATTAAGATATCAATAGATATTTTATTCATTTGCTCTCAATTAATTCTTTACCACAATAATTCGGGAAAAAAAAAAAAAAAACATCAAGAGCTGCACTCTAAGTTCGCATTACAGTGCTTCGTGAAAGTTTTTCGTCTTTTTGATCGAAGAGGAATAATAAAAACATCATACTTTATTTAAATACCAAATTACAAAGACAATAGTGCTGGCCTACAAAAGCAGCGCCCTTTTTGTGCGTACAGCCAGGCGACCAGCAAAAATACATGTATCTACAAATCAGCTCGATGTAAAAGACTAAATACAACTAATGCATGCTCGATGCAAGCAAACGAATACAACGAATGTATGCTCGATATACTAAAAGAAATTACAACGAATTAAAAAAAAAAGAAATTATACAACCTGAGAAAATAAAAATAATTAAAAAAAATACGGATCAAGCAGGCACTCGGGCACATAGCCCACTACGCCAAAAATAATTAGTCAAGAACAAAGATACACAAAACTTAAAATTTGCAATAAATTCCTGTAACTATCTTAAGGAACATAGAAGTAGCACAATGCTTTGTGTTTTTTCAGCATATATAAGAAGCATAGGTACATTAAAGACTCTGGTAGTTTATTGAATAGTGAAGGAATATTATCATTTCTACGTTCTACATCTTTTTCCGTATTCCGCGTACACTCTAGCGATCTCAAACCTCTCCGTGCGCCGTGTTTTTCCTTGTGAACCTCAAGTTTAAAAGGGGAATGCTAGTCCTAAAGCTTAAGGCGCAGTAGCCTACCTCAGAAGTAGGAGTAGAAGCGATGGGTCGACATTTTTTATCATGTCTAAGTCCAGCGTAGACCCATTGAAGGCTCTCATTCTGCCAAGATTACAACGAGTTTTTGTAGTCAGCTTATAAATAATCATAAGCGCAGTTTTTCTTTGGACAGAATCAAACGCCGCATTGTATTAGATGAAAGGCTCAACGACAAGATGGGAACCCTTCGTGGCCAACCGAGTAAGATAAATTCAGCAAATAGCCGACCCTTCAGAATGGAGACACTACCCTGGCTGTGAAAAACCCGTGAGTTATTAGAGTAGATATCGTACTTTTTCTTCACTTGTGTCAGCCGCGAGATGGTCGACAGGTCCTGAGAGGTTAATGAAGCCACAAAATGAATTCCCACACTCGATAGACCACGAAAAAACGGACGAGGCTCTATGTTCAGCAGAAAAAAAAACAGCGTACAACTTGCGTTGATCTTCCACTCGTTGAACCACCAATCACTCTGGGACTCCACAACAAGTTTAATTGTCTACTTCAAGAAACAACCTGGGTTCTGTGCTTTTTACATAACTGCAAACAATTACAAAGAAGAAGTTTGCCGGTTGCAGAACTTAACAGTGCCGAAACTACTTTAATATGACAAACGCAAGGAGAAGTGTACGGCCAAGAACGTATCACTCTCAAAAACTTTAATGGCACCATCTAAGTTGGAGGAAGGCTACAAAAGAAAACTAGAGGACAAAAAATGTCGGTGCACAGTATTTGAGCCGGATGTAAGAGGGAAATCGTAGTGCTCATAATAATGACGCAGTAAAACGGCAGTCTTTAGCTTTTGTATGTTTGGTGTGTTTCGTCAGAAAATGATTTCTGGGCGTAAACACCCGTGTTATCAGTCTTTAGGTCATGTTTTGTTTGTGTTCTTGTATTTGTTTTTCTTTTTGTCGGGAGACAGATAATGTAAAGGGGCAATGATTCAAGTGATTGAGGCGAAGTATAGCTGAGATACGCACGCGAGTGTTGTGATGATGAATAGGGTGACATAAGTGCGGTGTAAATAGTTTGTTCGGAATGCACGCGCATCGGAAGCCGAACTGTACAAATGAAGATTATGATCGTACCATTCTCATGCTCGTGCTATGTAGACGTCGTCAGAGGAACTATATGTCTCCCATGCAAAACGCAAGAATGCACGAAGTTAGAAGTTTAACAATAAATTTCTCAAAGTTGGAGGGCTGTACTGGTGGCGAAAACTCGGGTAGAACAAGAAAAAAAAAAGTAGACTTTGGCGGCAAAAAGAAAGCGAAGGAGGGACCGAAAGAACGAAAAGAATTGGCGCATCTTCGGCTGAGCTCCGAAGCAACATCTCCTGCTTCCGGTGACGCTCCCACCCGGGAAGATTACGGACCTCCAGGCATCTTCGGCCAAGCATCCAGGAGGAAGACAAACGTCTCACCAAAGCTTGTGGCCCAAGCCAAGGTCATGAGTGGCAGCTCAGCGGGGACTGGTTTGGGAGGACTTGGCCGTATATAACATCTCGCCTACGTTTACCTTTTACTCTGGAAAGCGTGCCGGGTTCTGTGGGCACTGTATTGCACTGTTTTGCGCTTGTGTGTGTGTGTGTTTTTGTTTGTAGTGTTAATGATTTCTCTGCTTTATTTTTTTACTATTGTGGTTGATGTAAGTGGAGGGGTTCGTGCCCCTTCTTCTGCCACTCTAACTTGTTTTATTTTTGTCTCTTTCGTTTGGTTGATACTGTGCTAGTGTATATTCACCTGTGAGCTTATGTTTTTGCATATTTGTACATTGTGTACGCAAGTAGCATGTCATCTTGTACGAAATTGTACTACCCCCTCCCCTGCTATAATGTGTCGGGGCTGCAGGGTAAACTAAAATAAATAAATAGAAGCTCGTCTAGGAGGACTTGGCAGACCTGTCTGATTAACACCTCTAGCCTTTATTCGAGTGGTCTTAAACAATCGATCTCTTCTCGCTTTTTTTTTTAAATAAATATGTATACATCTCCGCTTTCACGCTCTCTTGTATTTCCTCCACTAAATTCGCGCTTCGTTCCAGAAGAATGTGACAATCTGCACACCATTTTTGTGCAAAAAAAGAAAAAAAAAACGTGGTCGAAGTAATTTGTAACCCACATATTTGATTTAGCTGTCTGATGGTTTTGCACCTGCAGAAGTTCTTCATTTTTTCTAGCACAAAGTTGTAGAAGTCTGCTGAATTCAACACTATGTCTCCCCAGCCGTTTTTATATAACTTACCTCGCCATATTGTCCGCAAGGCAGGTCATCATTTAGAAACACGTACTGTGATTTTACTTGGCTGTTCTTCTTTTCCTGACATTCAATGTTGCAAACATTGAACTCTGTGAACTGAAAGAGAGACATTTGGTAAAATATCTGTCAAACGTATTGCGCAGACTCAATAGCATAATACCTTATATTAATGTCGCTGTATGACGGCGCTTGGCCGGATATAATTTACCCCGACAGACTTGTTTCTCTTAAAATTTGTAATGGCGTCTCTAACGCGCGTCTTTTATTTTTGGTTGTTTGCGCAAAACCAAAGGAAATTTTTGATTTTTGTTAAAGGTATTTTGGGCAGCGGTAACTTGTTGAAAACGTAAGATATAAAAACGTGATATAAAAACCAGAAACAAAGTTAAAATCGTAAAATTCAGTGACAGTCACCATAGGAATCAGCAGCGCAAATCAACTAGGACACAAAGGGAGTCACATAAAAAGGGGGTGCTGACTAACCACTCTGGTGCAGACGACACCAGTGGAATCGTCACATCAATAATCACCGACTCGCTAAGCCTTTGTGTGAACGGCATCGATCCACATCTTCAACCTTCAGTATATTGTAAATCGCACGATATCCAGAGATATATGAAAAACAATTCTGCCGGATGTTAACAACCAATTATAGTGGATAACGAAAGAGGAGAAAACGCGGAACGTGTACAGCACACAAAAATAGCTGTACACAAGTGACGTCATACTGCAACGCGTTTCTTAGAGTTGCATCTGCAACCGCTAACCGTCGCCGGCTGAGAAGCTGGTGACTCTATTTTCTACAACGGTTTCAGTAGGGATTGCGATTCCCCTTTTACTTAATAGTTTGGTTATCGTAATATTGTTCTCTACCAAAGCAATATCAGGCATTCGGTTAAGTTCGACTTTTGAGCTGAGTTAACTTAAGCACAGACATATCGCTGTGGCACACGCACAAAAACAACCTGCAGTGTTTGTTACCATATGTAAGGTATAACCTGCATATTATTCCGTGAAGGATAGCCTGTCGTATAGTAAGTTAGAGTCTGTTTGAGAAATGGCATAGTTACCAGTTTCTGTGAAACATAACACTACGTTTCTACGAACCATTTTGAAACCCCGATGGTTCTTCAAAGTTCCATTAACTTTTTGATACCTGTCTGCAGGTATCAAAAGTTTTTAGATCGATTCCTATACCAATACCGATTAAGGTTGGAAACAAGAATAATTCAAAATTCAACGTTAGAAGATCGTAGCGCGACCGGTTTCGCCGATCCGCACGTCGCTGATTATGGAGTCGTCGTAGACCAAGTTTCCCCCTGCGCTAAGCCCTCTGCAACGAAGAAGCTGCTACTGCGCCTGCGCGCTGATTGCCTTGGCTCTAGAGTTTCGGGTATCGTAGCGGGTTGTGGAGAGCATTGCGGGACGGCGAAAGCGATCTACGAAAACTTCCTACTATGTGCCTACCGGAACTCCCTGAGTTTTAACACAAAAATATCAAAACAGAAACTCACGCTTGCAATGTCCATAATATTTCCGGAGAAAAAAAAATCGGGTTCTTTTAAAAAGAATCGCTGAAAAGCCTCCATACAATAACACCGATTGCAGACACGTATGTTAGCTAAATTTAGGCACTCAGCCAAGTCAGAATAATCCATAGCTACAACGTATTTATTAAAGAAAGTAAAAAAACGCAGGCCCGAGCTGGTGAATCATATATATAATAACCCTGAGACATAGGAGAAAAAAAAAAAAAAAAAGAGGACAGAGCAACGAAGTCTCTAACACAGCTTGAAATTTATTTAACAACCATCGTCTTATATACATGTCACAGACCTCCATCACAATTCAAAAGACCTCCTCGCCCACTTCACACTGTACCCTCGCCTTCAACCTATACCGACAACCGCACACAAAAGTTCGTAATTGTTGTTGGGTACAGTCTGATCTTGGGCCAAGCGTGGAAGTTCTTAGATTCCCTTTTCGAGTTAGTGTCCATTTGTGTTTCGGGCGTGTTTGCTTTTGTGTGCGTTTGTATGGGACGCGGCAACCGTGCTTGCAATCTTGTAATCCTCACTAATTCTAGGCAGGTCCTTACTGTCCCTGGAGGTCCATGCTTCAACGGAGGCTATCACTATCATGTATGGGTGAAATGAAAGCGAGTGCTCATTTTATTTTCATCCGGAGCCGATACGCACTACTTCGTCAATGGGGCAATCAAAGTTAAAACCACGCCACTCCTCTCCCTAACAGAAGAGTTCCCATAGTGCAACGCGCGCAGTGTTGCCTGCAGGGATTGTTTTTGTATATAAAGTAGTCTATTAGCTCATCAGTACATGCTTGACTCGGAAGACCAGTGTGCTCGACACAGTCGCTCGCATCAACATGTTGCTTTCTCTCCCGGTGATATTGTTCCGCACCGGACACCACCACGCCATGTGGGCTTGGCGACAAGCTTCTGCATCATACCGAATCTATCATAAGTCCAGTGACGTAACATATGTTCTAAAATTTTGGAACACGAGCATGCTGATAGACGGCGGAAACTACGAGACACAGGGAAGGTGTTTCGTCTGAAACGATGACTTCCCTGTCGACCTGATAACATAACGACGAGACGCTGTTTTCTTCACGACGCCGAAGTAATATTACGTAGACGGTGACGGACTAAGAAAGATATGGAACGGAAAAATGGGAAGACAACCCTATCTCTGAAGTTCAGCTAATCAACTTTTTTATCTTAAAAAATTCACTATTCATCCCCGAATAAGCCATCTTTACATAGTAACCATATAGTTAAAACAAGTAAAGAATGCAACAGAAGCTCATCCAATGCCCTCACTACCGCGCAACAGCGTTCCTATAAATTGTGCAAAAAGTACGGTACCGAGACACAGGTCACGCTGACGTCAGTGAGGCTTATGGCCAGTTCGAATGCTCGTTTTGGAGCGCGCCAGGAGCGACTTTTCTGGGGCGCGCCTATTTTATAGGGCGGTCGGGATCGAGACTGCCGTGTTCCACTCGTCGTTTTGGATGAGCTCCCCTCTCCAGATCTCGATCCGGATCTGTGAAAAGTCGCTCCGCCGATTTCAGCGGATTTGACCGGAAGAAAGCCTGGCCAGCCCTCGGCGCGCACACGTGACTTCTTTTCTCGCCGGGTATCTCTCCTCGCAAGAATTCGTAATGGCCACTCTCGAAGTATCGCCCGCTTTACCGCTCGTCGTCACGTTGCTCGAGCACCTCCTCCAGCAGCAGCGGCTCGAGCAGCAGCGGCAACGAGGATTGCTTGCTTGGCCAGGAGAAATTTGACTGCCTTTTCGACCGTTCGCAGAAGAGGCCGAAAATCGCGACGTTCTTGGACACCGCGCACGAGTATATGGATGGAAAGGCAAGTCGGCTACGCTGATGCAGAGCCGTGTATGCAAAGAGTTTGGTCAATGGGAGGTGCGGGCAGAACCGGGGCGTGCACCAGAAGCAGAAAGAGGGTTCAACATGCTCTTTCGGCCAACCAGAAACCTAAAAGAATCCCCTAGCGGTGGTAGTGAGAAACAGTTTTAATAATAAACATTTAGTTTTAATAAGCGTGTAAGAGTTAATTGTAGTAATCCTTCATGGTTGAAAATAGGGTACACGTGATGTTTCGGTCATGATCATGCAGAAACATGTAAGAAATGAATGTGCCGCTCAAAATCTGTTTTGCTCGGACAGGGTACGACCGCTCGGACGACAGATTCCAGGTCCTCGGCGCCTGGCGTACGGATTACGTCGATTGTTCCGCTAGTCGAGCTCTTCCACAGTGATTTTGCATAACCGTGATTGAAACATCACGTGCACCATATTTTCAGTCACCGAGAGTTACTCCGACGCAAGTTTGTTTCTCGCGAACACCGCCAGAGTAGTATTACCGGCTTCTGGTTAGCCACATTCGAATTTTCGAAGACGCCCTGGAACACGCCAAACACACTTTCGGCCAAGGGCGTCTCCTCATTTGCGTCCTATACTTCCCAATGAATGGCCAAACTCTCTGCATATACGGCTGTGTGCTGATTTAGTACATCGATTGTCGACACGTATTTTCACGTCATTATTGCGTTGAGCACGTGTTCTTAGCGCCGCGATTGCGAAAACATGTGCTTCGAGATCCAGGATCGCGGGAAGGGGATTTCCGGGAACGTGAATGACGGGAAAGCATCCGCCGGTCCCGGAGGAGTGGTCATGTTCCATGGGGTGTTCCGGAGGTAGAGAGAATCCGTTCGGATCGCGCGCTCCATCGCGGATCTGGTTTATTGATCCTTGTGCGCTTCGAAACTGCCAGTGGAATTCGCCATTAGTCAATGACTTTAGGAAGACGCCACCAACCTCAGACCCGGCATGACTTCATGCTCAGTGACGCCGGAATCAGATCTCAATCCCAAATTGCCTGCGCACCAGTGATGTAGTACTGTCACCGTCTGCTCGCGCCTCGGTCGGCTCGGTCGGCTACGTTAGACCTACGATATGTCTACTCCGTGCTCTTTCTCTTTGTCACGGCTGGTTTTCTAGACTATCAGCACACCCAAAACCTTTCAATGCCCACGGGCAGTCATAACACGACGGAAGCCAACAAGTGCATGGTCGAAGCGGGCGTCCACGGCATTGTCAACCCGGCATCATTCTCAGTGTCCGTGTATGCGGCGCCTCATATATTGTTTTCACACCGTACATTGATGACTCGCTCTAGACGACACTCCCAGCATGCTGTCAAAAGAGTCCGCAACACGCCGACTTTCTGCTGACCAGGCAAGTGTTAAGATTCGAATCTCACCTGTTCGACAGCGATCAGTAGGACGCCACCATGTAAATATTGGGCAAACAACCACCTTGCCACGACGAAGTCATGGCAACGCGGTTTTTTGCCCTATATTTACTTGGCGGTGGCCATTAACTAGGTTTTCTATTAGTCGAGAAACTTAGGGGACATTTCAGAGCCCCGGCTTTCTCCGTTGCATTTTGCCTCATACATAAGGATACTGATGATACCTCCTGCCCACTATAACCTCCTTCATATTACTGCATATACGGTTCACCCGCAAAAAGGACAAAATGGGCTGGAAAAA